ATTTAAGTGATCTAGGTAGCTCTGTTTTGGAAGTTCAGTTAATGCTAGAAATGTGTTTTGGAATTTGTACGTGCTTTGTCTCTAGGGGCCACCAATATGTAACAATTTGTAATTAATCTGGACACACTTAGCTTAATAACATCTGATTTTTCCTTCACTATGCATTCAGGTGCTGTGTCATGACGAGTCTTGTTAAAAGGTTTATTCCAACCATTTATTTTACACTTCTATAAAGACTCACTGTTGTGTGAGTCTTTCAGAGCAGCAATATTAGCTATTATAGGCAGGATCAATACACTGCTGATCCTAATTTATAAAATCTTTTTGGTGTGTGTGTGTGACTGAGAAGAAAGCCCAAACAGGAAACACTCCCAAACTGGAAGAACACCTGCTGATCAGAGGGATGAGAAGATACAAAGGTTATATCCATAAAACTCACAGGTACTGAAAATATAACCCTTATCAAACTACTAATAGAATTAGAACACTATGCTGTGAGGAAAAAAATGCATATTAGTTTAAAAGAAAAACTTTATTTGTCCAACGTTTAATCAAACCAACACACATCTTTACTTTTTCAACAACGGTTTTAGTAACAGGAGCATAAAAATGGAAAGATGCTACTCTGTTCAATAAACCAAAAAGCAAATAAAACAAACAAAAACAAAACACACACACACACAAAACATTTTTTCTTACAGTGCTTTTTGTCTTGCCGAGCTTACTCATTTAAATAAACTGTACCAAAACACACACCAGCGCTGCTGGAATCCATGTTTATCTCCTCAGTATTAAAATTTACCCAAACTGTGGAAAAATATAAACGTACAGAAGTGTAATCTAATCTTTTAACGACAACCAATAAACTGTAAAAATATATTAAGTGCAGCGCACTACATTGTCTGTTTCATTGGTTTTGCAGCATTCACTCACAGACATGCCCACATTTTTAGGTTTTTTTTCCAACAAAAAACTTAAGTCAGACATTCAGTGCATTTCTTTTGCACTATTTATATCACATCGTATAATCTTCATGCTGCTTCGCACTGAAGCAGAATTCAACATTTACTGTTAAAGAACAACAACTGTGACTTCATCCAGCCAAAACACAATTTAAACTTCACAGCTAAACATACACACTTGCACAAAGACATACTCAGCACACACAAACCTCTCTGTGGAAAAAAAACAAGATCTTTTCTTTAGAAAAAAGAACAACAAATAGGTTCATTTAATAATTATGTTATATGCTAAGGCTGTTTTTCCCCTTACTGAGGACTGTTACGTTAGTGTGCTCACATGTTGTTTTGCACCATGCCTGTGCACGGTTTGACCTCTGATGTTCTGGCCGGTTTGATCATTGTGTAACATTCCCTGGCACACTTACACTGTTGAATGAATGGTTACACATACTGTGTCTGTGCTCACTTTAAGAGTTAGGCCACAGATCTCACATGTGATTTAGTTGGACTCCTGTACGATTGGTTTCCATGCATAAAAAAGTCTCCCATTAACCCATATAAACTTTAAAATCAACTTCATTGTGAAACTTTTTGGAAAGCAGGTGTGCTGGAAACTGAGAGGAAAACACAAACACACATCAGCAGATTGAGGGAGAAGGAGGGAGGAAGGGAGAGAGAGAGAGATGCTGAAGCAAACTGAAGCAAACCTGGGCACAGAGGGTTAAATGCAGCTGGACTGGAGAG